GCCACCCCGTTTGTCCAATCCCCTATGAATGACCCCCTCTCTATTTGTCTGCATGGGCAGCCAGCCCATAATAGTCCCATTTCTTCTGGCAAGTGCCGTTGCCAAGGAGTCTGGGCATGTGCAGATGCTCAGGGTCTTCCGAGGACAACTTGTGGTCATCCTCCTGGTATCACTCGGCTGTCATCCCGGGGCAGTTAAATCTCTCTGTCCCCAGCCACTGCTTGGCCAGTGACCTACAAGTGGCTGCTAACTGTCCTACACAGTGCAGGGTCTCCCAGACACCATCCACCTCTGCCATCCATGCATGGTGCTCCAAGCAAGGCTTGCCTCCCCTGCTCAACTCAAACCACATCACCCTGCTCTTTCTTACCACATCCTTCTCCTTTTTTCTGCAACCCTTTTTACTTCCGAACAAGAGTCCTAACAATAGTGTTCTTCGTAGTGAAAAACTGGAAAAGAATCCAGTTGTCCAACAACAGGGGTTAGTTAATGAACCATGGTTAAATAAGTCAGGGTTTGTTAATGGGATATATTATTCAACTGATAAAAACCATGTACTGAAGGAGATATAATAATAAGGATGATATCCACCACTTCTGCTCAGAAAAAAAAAAAAGATAGAAAATAAGTTTCCTTAAGTGAAGCATGTTCACGAAGATGTTATCAGTTCTAAATCTCTAGTCTACAGGATCGTGGTTGATCTCCATTTTCTTCTTTTTTGCTTATGTTTATTTGACCATCTTTTTAAATGAATGAGTATGATTTTGGGAAAGCAGCACATTAGAAGTCAAACAGTTCAAAATGGACTGTTAAAAAATGTATTTGATTTTATATGTGTTTATATTCCTTAAAACCTGCGTGTGCTCTACCGGGATGAGCCTGGTATTGTAGTGCATTTTAGTGTGTTGTGTTGTGTTGTGTTGTGTTGTGTTGTGTCGTACTGTGTTGTATCACAGCCCAGAGCAACAGATCAGATGAGGATATACTTTGTCCTTTGGTGGTGAAGGGTCATGATTCCCAGGAAGCCATGGGCTGGAGAGGTACAGAATTGGACACTTGAGTTATGCTACTTGCCTTAGAGAAAGCCACAGGCTGTGATTCTAAATGGGGTCCTGGGTTAGTTTCCAGACAGCAGAAGGATCTGGGTTTTTTTTCTCCCCAAATGAAATCTTACATAAAATATCAACTCCTAAACAGCAAATGTTGTATTGATTTGGTTCAAGTAGGAATTGCAGCAACCAGTAATGCCAGTTAAGCCTCCCCCTTCTGCCTACATCCCCCCTACAAAGCAACTGGTAGGCTTCCCCATTCACTAGTTGAGAAACAAACAAAAGTTGGTTTTAAGAAGGCAACTTCCATTCCAGCAATAGGTTTTTCCATTCATAGTATGAAATCCAAATGGTTACTTTTGCCCATTAATTACATGTATACTTGGATTTCTTGAGGCCCAATCTTCCTTCCATGTAGAAAGCTTGCTTCACCATACCTGCCTAAACTCCTACAAATCCCAGATACTCTCTTTGGATTTTTTTTTTTACCTCCAACACCCTAGATTAAACAAAGTATTACTTCATATGTCACCCCACAGTACTTTAACTATTATACTCTATTATATCACTTGCAACGTGGTACCTGAGCTAGGCTTAAGGTATTTAAGTGAGTACTTGTAGGTTGAACTGAAAATTTGCCTCCTAACAACAACAACAACAAAAAAAACTTCTTTGTGGGTCTGGTTGCCTCACTGCTTTTTATGGAGGTTAAGAAATCTACATGGGGCAGGAGGAATCTAATGGTGGCCATGATTTGGGGTTCAGACAATATAAGTACAACTAATGTAAGGAGAAACTCTGAGATCCCTTGATGGTAGGGGAGAGGGGGGACTACCTCAAGAGAAGGAGTCTGGCTCTATCAGAATCAACAACAAGATCTAGTCATAGGAGGAGAAATGGTGATTTCCAGTGGAGTGGAATGGCCATCATTTGAACTTGTTGAATCCCAGCCAATCTGTTGGTACATAGACATTCTGGGCAAAAAGACTTGTGTTCCCAAATGAAAATTTATTGCTCTGCTTGGGATCTCTCTAAACAAGTAGCTCGCAGTGAAGTGAAGTCAGTATTCCAACTGTCAGAAGAAAGGCAGTCAGTCTAAAGCACCAGAAGAACATCAAGCAATATCCCAGAGGCAAGTAACAACAGTATAAGCATTTCGAGAGAGTCAATCAAGAGTGGTGGGAAAATAGCATGCCAGGTTTTCTTGTGCATGAGAACAATGACTGAAAAAAAAAAAAGCTGGAGCAATGGAATATTTAGCAGTCTGGACCAAGAAATGAGATCACAGAAGACTCAAGTTGGGACTGGCTTAAAAAATGAGAGAGGGAACAACACGGAAGAGGGAGAGGGATGGGGGTCCCGTCATTTACTGGTTGAGACTGAGGTAGCAAAATTCAAACAGAAATATCAAAGTGTGCTCACCTATACCCACATACTAGTAAGAGCTGGGGACATTTAGTCTATATATTGTGTTCCTATTATTACTTGTTCTCATGATGGGGACATGACATTATTAGGTACGACATATATCTGTGAGATGGCTGTGTCTCGGAGATATGTGTGTCAGAAAATATTCCTGTGTGAGGCTCAGGATATGTGAGATGATGTGCTTGGCTGTTATGACATGGTGACCACATGAGGTTGAGATATTTCAGTGGGTAATGGAAAGTTAGCAGAAAGGATTCCCTGGTCCAGTGAAGACTGCTTTAAGCATAAGCGCATTTTTTATATAGAAGAACTTTTATTTAAAATTATAGGAGAGGAAAAGCTACACAAGGATCAAGCTTTGCTAGCTTAGAATTGAGATGGTTGAGATGGCACAAATAGCACTATAGATTACCTTAGTTTCATCAAATATAAGGTCATAACAGCTACAAGCTGATAGATGGGCAGGCATTTCAAACTCTGGATAGAGCACAGAACAGAATATATTCCATTTCTCAACATTTTCTAAAGGAAGCCAAATATTTCTTAAGCTTGTTCATCACCCACTCCTTCTCTACCTCTTGGATTCTGAATTACCACATGCAATGACAGCATATTTTTAGCATACTGGCTTATGTTCAAATTTATGCATTACAACCTACATGTTTATGAATTTATGTATTAAATTCCAGAGAATGAGAATACACCATAAATTCAGAATTCACATAATCCATTTTATTAGTATGCATGTTCAAAAGCTTGCAAAAAATTAAATTAACATATATTAATATTTGCAAAGGTATTTTGAGTGAATGCTAGTTCTTTTAAAGCATGACTTCATTAAATGGTAGAGCTATTAAACCAGACATTAACCTCCCCAAGTTTGGGCAGAGAAGAGCTCAAGAAGAAGGTTTTTGTGCAGTTGTACAAGATGTTCTCCAGTCTTGTCTCCAAGACTGACTTCTTTGGGCTTTTCTTATTTCAATTCTCAGTATCATTGTCATTGCTGGATATGGGGAAAATTCCCCTTTGATAATCCAACTCATCACTTAAAATATAAGATGCCAATAACTCATTCCCCAAAACATACATGTACATTTTTTAGAAAGAGAACTTTCGCTAAAAACTTAAACAGAATGTCCCCATACATGGAAGGTGCAGCGTTATTAAAAACAATCCAATTTCAAAATAGGTTTGCATCAAGAAAGAGTCTAGGCAAGTAGCAAAGGACATGGCAATTCCCGAATCTCCTCGGTCTGAGACAAAGACACCTGACTCTGGAGGGCAGATGTAACTCAAGGATACTCTTCCCTCAAAAGATGGCCACTGGCTATCATCTCATGTACTTTGTCCCCTGCATTATGTTAAACATAATGACCGTCCTCTCCCACTTGAGGACAGAGTGCAAAACATGAAGCTTAGAGTCTCAGATTTCCTGGTGGCCTCCCAACTCAGTTTTATTTTTCAATTTGAGGAGTAAGAGTGACTGGAAGAGTGGTGGCTCATGGTCCATAAATGATTCTTTGGTCTTTTCCTTCCTGGCTTTAGTAGTCATCCCTACTTGAATGCTCTTCAGCATTCTCCTAGTGACTCACTCAATTTAACCCCTCCACCCCACCAGGAAGTGATTAGACAAAAATCTACCCATCTCAAATATAAAATCTTAGCCGTGCAAGAACAATAGCATACACTTATTATAAATTAAACACAAATACTATGACATGAAATTAAGTGAAAGTTGAGAAAATTTAAGACCAAACACAATATTCAATTAGCAAAATATCTTTTTTTTTTTTTTTTAAGGCCAACCTAAATTTAGTTTTGACTGATCCCTTTGGAGGAATATTTGTGGCGTATCTTGGTTTTGTTAGTGTGATCTTTAGCTTTTTGACAATCCACAATTAAAAACACATAATTCTCTAGGATATAACTGCAACAGTCCCATTAATTTCTGTATCAAAAGTATCCAAAACTAAACTACTTATTTATCGAAACTTAAGGTTTTAAGAGAGTTTCCAAAAAATACAAATCTATAGCAATTTACTTAGAAAATTTTCTTGCTAGAGTAAACATTATAGCTTTTGGTATTAAAATTTGGTAAGTTTATTCATTTATCAGTACTACCAAAATACAAAGAAGAAAAACTGTCTAGGAATCAAAGTAGGTTTTAAAATAATTATATTTAGATATCTTCATTTCTGATCTTCTAACTGTAATGTTAACTGTAAGAAAGAGTATCATTAAACATGTCAGCAAATAACAGAGGGACAGAAAGGTGGACAATCTGTCAAACTTTTTTTTAAAAGATTTTATTTATTTATTTGACAGAGAGGGAGTGATCACAAGTAGGCAGAGAGAAAGGGGGAAAGCAGGCTCCCTGCTGAGCAGAGAGCCAGATGCAGGGCTTGATCACAGGACCCTGAGATCATGACCTGAGCTGAAGGCAGAGGCTTAATCCGCTGAGCCATCCAGGTGCCCCAATCTGTCAAACTTTTAAAAAATATTTATATTTAAAAGAATACTTACTCTTTAGCCGTCCTGTAAGAGGATATATCCTGATTTTTTCAATAATATCAACCACAACCAAGGAAGTCAGAACCAGAGAAACTGGCAGATCAGGTAACTTCTCAGGAAAGCCATCCGTCGAACCATTACTATTTTTTTGAACCTGTTTTCAGAAAACCATTTAGAAGGATTACATTTTGTGCTTTCTTTGTTTAAAATTCTTTTAATAGTCTGAAAGCCGCACTAAGTTATGAAGACATTTACTAAAATATTAGAAGCTTAATTTCCAGCTTTTCAGGTATTCAACCCGTTAAGCTTTTTTTAAAAATTGCGTTATGTTAGTCACCATATAGTACATCATTAGTTTTTTTGGGGTTTCTTTGTTTGTTTGTTTAAGATTTTACTTATTTATTTGAGAGAGAGAGTATGAGAGGGGAGAGGTCAGAGGGAGAAGCAGACTCCCTGCTCAGCAGGGAGCCAGATGTGGGACTCAATCCCAGGACTCCAGGATCATGACCTGAGCCAAGGGCAGTTGCTTAACCAACTGAGCCACCCAGGCACCCCACATCATTAGTTTTTGATGTAGTGTTCCAAGATTCATTGTTTGCATATAACACCCAGTGCTTCATGCAATCCGTGCCCACCTTAATACCCATCACCAGGCTCACGCATCCCCCACTCCCCTCCCTTCTAAAAACTCTCCTGTTTGTTTCTGGGAGTCCATAGTCTCTCAGCAACCCCATAAACTTTTGAACAACTTGTAAAGATGTAACAAAGATTCCTATCAGTGGGAGAGCTTTCAGCTCAAGATTGAGGTTGGTAAACACATGCGAAAATACTACAGCAGGCTCCTGGTAACGGTGGGATGGGCAATTTCTTCCCTCTCTACTGTGAAGCAGAGCCTTTGGGAGTCCTTAGGTTGAAGAATGAGGGGGACAGATATTGGATGGAGTTCAGGGTCTTCTAAGAAGGGAGAGCCCAGGTTAAACCCAACCAGGTTTTGGGACACTTCTTTCATCTGATTAAGGTATATACAAAAAAAAAAAAAAAAGACTATGGCAAACATCATATTAGTGGTGATAAGTTGAGAGTTTTCCCTCTGAGATCAGGAAGACCAAGGTGCCGCCATGACCAGTTCTATTTAACATTGTACTAGAGGTCCTAGCTGGTGTAATAAGGCAAGAGAATGAAATAAACACAGTAAGTGTCGGAAAGAAAAGAAATCTATATCTTTATTCATAGACTACATAGTTGTACATGGGGAAAAGCTCCCCGAAGTGGATAAATTATTTCTAAATACCAATAAAGGGAAAATGAGATTTTAAAAAATACCATTCAATGCAACCTCAACCAAAATTCAAAGACATTGCAGAAAATGACAAGCAGACTCTAAAATCCATATAGAAATACAGAAGGCAAGACATTTAGATGAAAAAGATATAAAGATTTACTCTTTGGGGTATAAAGAGCTATTATAAACCTAGAAGAATTGTATTGATATAGTGTGGGCAGAGGTATATAAAAGCAGACAGTGGACAAAACAGAAGACTTGAAATAGACATGTACATATATACACTTGATTTGTAAAAGTAGCACTGCAGAGAAACATGGAAAGACAGGATTTTTTATAAATAGTGCTCAGTCCATTAGACATTAATTGGGGGGAAAATGCACTCCCTACCTCACAACATATACAAAAATTAGTTTCAAATGGATTGTGAATCTAAAAGAGAATGTAAAACAATACAGGCTCCAAAATATAATATCGGAGGATATCTTCAGGTCTTTGAGATTCAGATTCACAGTATGACAAAATCTTTTCAAGCTACCAAAATTACTATCCACGAAAAAAAGAAACCGACAAATTGCACCGTTTTTAAATGAAGAACTCTTCGTCCAAAAATGGCATGACAAGTATTAAGTCACAAAGTGTGAATATATTTGCAATACATATAATCAACAAAGGGCTTGAAATCTGAATATATAAGTAGCTTCTGAGTCAATTCCAAAAAGATAAGTAACACAATAGGGGGAAAAATTGGCAAGATAAGAAAATACTCAGTTTCGGGGCACTTAGGTGGCTCGGTGGGTTAAGCCTCTGCCTTCAGCTCAGGTCATGATCTCAGGGTCCTGGGATCGACTCCCCTGTGGGGCTCTGTGCTCAGCAGAGAGCCTGCTTCTCCCTCTCCCTCTGCCTGCCTCTCTGCCTACTTGTGATCTCTCTCTGTCAACTACATAAATAAAATTAAAAATAAAAAGAAAGGAAAATGCTCAGTTTCATTATTGATGAAATGCAACATAAAACGGCAATGAGATCCAAGAATATACACACTGGGATGGCTAGAAGACTTACGAGGTAAGGCTAGCGAGGCTGTGGAGCAACAGGTATGTTCGTTCTCCACCAGTGCTAAGTCTAAATTAGTAGAATCTCTTTGGAAACCTGGCACTTGCTGCTAGTTGAACATTTGAATTTTTTTTGTCTTTTTTATTTTTTATTGTTTTATTATGTTATGTTATGACCCATCAATTATACTCCTGCATAAATTTCACCAGCTGAAATTCTTGCATATGTGCATCAATAGACATATTCAAAGATGTTCACAGCAGCGTTATCTTTAATAACCCAAACCAGACACATCTGAAGGTGGGCATCGAAAGCAGAAATGTAAGCTGTAATATATTCATAATATGAACTACTCTACGGAATGAAAATGAATGGAATACAGTTGTATACAAAAACCCGAATGAATCACACTTTTGAATAAGAGAAACCAGACATACATTAGGTAGATAAATAGATAGATAGATAGATAGATAGATAGATTTTATATATATAAAATTATATTTCTCTTATGAAAGATTCAAAACCAGACAAACCAACCTATGGTATTAGAAGTTAAGGTAGAAGTTACCTTTAAGGAGGAGGGAAAAGGTTGTCATTGCAAAAAAACAAGGGAGCTGGCAAAATTTTATTTTTTGACCTGAGTAGTGTTTACACAGGTTTTTGCTCTGTAGTATTTCACTAATATTGTTTTGTACACATGTCTGTTTGTGTCTTATACTTGAGTGAAAAATGAAATGAAAGGAGGAAAAAAATGTGTAACAGTGGATAAGGATGTAATAGAAAAGAGCCAAAAAAAATGTTCTTTTGCCCCAAGAAGGGCAATCAGACTACAAATATACCATCACTTTATGATAATAGGGTTGCTTAAAATGTTGTAAACTGAATTTTTAAAGGTCTTGGGAACTGCTCATGAGCTTTACAAAGTCTTTGGGGAGGAGAGAGGGAAAAAAGATAAATCTAGATACAAATATACACATATCGTTGTTTGATGGACAGTATGTGCATCAGGTGCAGCCTTCAGAAGTTATTCTAATACATTTATATATTGTCCTAATGTAGCATCTAGGACACAGTCCAACAATCGTATATTTCTAATGATATCATACACTACCCAGTACTCCCTTCTCTCATAAAGCCTATCATAACTATTCTGATTGTCTATTTCTCTCTCTACTATCAATAAATAATTACTGAATGCCAGAGGTTCCATCAAATTTCCTGAGTGTTCTATCCCAGTACCTACTCAATGTATTTCATCTGTGGAATATAAAGTAATTTAAGTTACTCACTTTGGGGAAGTGAAAATTATATACTTCACAGCATCATGTAAATTAATAAGGTTAATAGGGCAGTCTTCTTTGAACCTTTTTTAGACAATAAAATTCTCACAACCTGTGAGTTCTGCCTATAATATTCCCATCCTGTAGATACTCATCTATCAGAGTCCTTTTGAAGCTGCATTTAGTCAAAACCTAAAGTTTATTTTCAAATATATATCATGTGTGAATGCTTTGCCAATAGATGTATTATCAAAGGTCTTAGAATGTGAGTGGATGTCCCTTTGGATATTGTTTAGAACTGAAGACACTCAAAAGACATCTAGTTAAAAGAAACAAATACAAATCTACTTTCAAATTCCTTGCTTTTTTTTTATTATTTTGAAATTAACATTCCTGTCTCTCATGCACAAACACAGAAGGTATTTTTTTAATTGGCTGCTAGACCTTCCTTCACAACCACAGAGGTAACAATGTTCTTAGTACTTTAAATATATACATTGCAACTTGGAAGAAAATTGGATAAAATAAAGTTTTAAGAAAATTTTGGGGCACACTGTTCTATCAAATTCCAGTAACAGAGGAAATTTTAAAATCTCAAAATCTTGCAGCAGAAGAAATAAAAATCCCATACCTCGGTCACTGCGATAGAAAAGCTGAAGCTGGGAAGTGTGGTGAGTATAACACACATCATCATAACAGGTCTCCTAGCAAAGGAGAAAAAAAAATAAGCAAAAGCAATAATGTACAAGATCAACAGTTCCTGTTCCATTCTGCTAATTTAGCAGTTCCTGTTCCATTCATCTATAGTTTTTCTAAGAAACTACTGCTTCCCTATTTCCATTTCCCAAATGTTTGAGTATGGCAAAGGGCAACACATGCAAAAACCGGAATATTTTCTAGAACAAAGGGGTGAGAGATTTCCAAATAAGTAGCAAACCATGGACTTCTAAGAGCATCTACGTACAAGATGAGAGACATTCAATATTTTCATTATTATTTGGAATCTTGTCCAAGAGTTCTGGCTCTTGTGACCAACTGAAAAAAAGAACATGACTTTTTTTTTTTAAGATTTTATTTATTATTTGTCAGAGAGAGAGAGAGAGAGAGAGAGCGCATGCACACAAGCAGGCAGAGTAGCAGGCAGAGGCGGAGAGAGAAACCAGCTCCCTGAGGAACAAGGAGCCCGATGCGAGACTAGATCTCAGGAGCCTGGGATCATGGCCTGAGCCAAAGGCAGCAGCTTAACTGACTGAGCCACCCAGGCATCCTGAACATGACTTTCTTAAGTTATAGTATACCCTATGTCTAAAGTTGATTTTTCAAAAAGACATTTAGAGAACGTATACCAAGAATGACTTTAAGTGAAAACATTTAGATGTTTCTTACTTGAAAAAAATCATATATATATAGAGAGTGAAATATTGTGTGATTTTATATATGTGATTTTATGTATCACATATATCACATTTTAATATATATACACAAAAATAAAAATTTTTATATATCACAGATATATAAAATCACATATGTATGTGTGCATATATACATATATATGATATGTAAAAATCACATAATTTTTCAAACTTGTTTTTGGACCCCTTCTTAAACATTATAATAATCAATTAATCAAATTGTTATTGTGATATAATACACATATAATACATAAAATATCTTATGACAGAATTAAAATGTACACTTAGCATCATTAATTTATGGGAAGACAAAGTATACTCAAAGCTTTTGTATCATGAAATACCTCCTTTCCTTAAATACATATTTCACTAATCACACATTTAAAAAATTACATTTATATGATAATGTGTTCCTAAGTACAAAAAAAGTGTTGAACTCTTTCAAATAACTAAGGTTTTCCCCTTGGTACTACCATGCTACTGTCTATCTTGCTTTCTAGGTATAGACATAAATTAGGGGGCGGGATACACCCCTCTCCCAACCAGACCCAGTATGACCTGCTAAAACCAGAGGTACAATGGGGTTTTTAAGGGGTAGCTTTGGCTCCTTTTTTGAGCCCAGATCTAGGTTCCTGCAGCACCTGGTTCTCTAAGGCTAGCTAGAGCCTTCTACTCAGCTTGTACTCAAAAATAGATAAGAATGTCCCAGGGATTACTCCCACCCCTCCTCCTTATCTATATTTTCTCCCTCAATTACCTAAGCCAATCCCATGGTTTTAAATAACACCTACTTACCCATAGCTTCCGAATATTGTATATATATGTATATATGTATGTGTGTGTGTGTGTGTATATATATATAAAACATCATATACATTATCATATATATATATATATGATTTTTTTGGTTTGAGTAAGAAATACCCAAATGTTTTCACTTGAAGTCATGGTTTATCTCTTATGATCTCTAAATGTCTTTTTTCAAAAAAATCAATATCAGTATTATATAAATGTAAATACGCCTGAGTTCCGGGCTTGTATGACCAATTCTATTGGTACCTCCACTGGGATGTCTAGTAGGCAATCCAGATTTAACATGCCTGAAAAAGACTCCACATCCTTCCCCATACCTGTTCCAATTATCATCAAATGCTGTCTGATTTACATCAAGTGTATTTACTGAAAACACGTTTTCAATCCATCCTTTGCTAACACTGCAGGTCATGAGCTATCATAGCTCATCTGACTTCCTAACCAACTTCCTGTTAGTGCTTCTATTCTTGCCTAGCAACATTGTCTCCAAAGAGCAGTTATATTTCTAAAATGTAAAACACGATTATCACCGCCCTACCAAAAATTCTCCAATGATGGGGGATGGGGTGAATGGAGAGTTAGTGTTTGGTGGAGACAAAGTTTCAGTTTTGCAAGATGAAAAGAGCTCTGCGAAAGGTTGGTTGGTCTGGACACAGTGTGAATGCACTTAAGGCCACTGATCTGTACACTTAAAAACCATTAGGATGTTAAGTTTTATGTTGTGTATTTTTCATAAAATACATACACTTGTGCACTTTACATATTTTAAAAAATCACCAAGGCACGAATAACATCATTAGAATAAAATTGAAACCTATTACTCTAGCCTACATGTTCTATATGTTGTGGTTTCTCTTCTTTCTCCACTGTCTTTCTCATTTAGAATGACCTTCTTCTCTCCCAAAAACCTCTTAACTCCAGCCATACTGGCCTTCTAGTTATTTCCTGATCACAGCAAACCCGCCCCACCTTCAAGTTGTACACTTGCTCTCCTTTTGCCAGCAACTCTCTACTCCCAGATCTTCCATGTCTGACACAGAATTATATACATTTACAGCCCTACGGCCATCTGAAATTCTGCTGATTATTTCTTGTGTACCGTTTTACACATTCCTCCTCTTTGCCAGTCACCCAAACTAAGTTCCATGGAAGCAGGAAACTTTTCTGAGTGGTTTCACTACATTCACTGGCTAGCACAATGTTTTTGAACAATTTTTGTGCAGTGAAACTTCTGAGAATCTGGTAAAACCTATGGGCCTTTCATAAAACATAATTAAAAAAAAACAAGCAATTATGTTGAAATAGTTATCCAAATTCTTTCACAATTTTGATATAGTAATATATGTGCCTATCTATGAACATTGTCTTCTGATTTCCTTTGGAGTACTCAAGATCTAGTGGAAACTGAAATCATTCATAACCCATTTGATGAAGTATCTGCAATAGCTGTAATGTGATATGAAAAGACCTATGTAATGAAATTACAGGTTCTGGTAATATTATTGTGATTTGTTACCAACGTTCAAAATGGAAAGAAATCATAGCTTTCAATTAGAGGTTAGTGAAAATAACGATGTAACCTGTTCCCAATCCAAGTTCTGTGTTTTATGTAACCAGAAATAATGATAATTTGTATTTTAAAATCTTGACTGACTGCCAACATATGTTTATAATTTATGAATAAGGGTTGTGGGTTAAATTCTGTGCCTCCTCCCTAAAAGAGATGTTGAAGTTCCAGCTCATGGCACCTTACCACGTAATCTTATTTGGCAACAGGGTCTTTCTAGAGGTAAGAAGTTAAAATGAGGTCATTAGGGTGATGCCTAATCCAACATGACCAGTGTCCTTATAAAAAGGGAAAATTAGGAGAATGTACAGAAGGAAGATTATATGAAGACACAAGGAGACAGCAGATGAAGGCATAAATTCAGCCAGATGATGCTTGGCCAAGTACACCAGAGTGCCCGTGAACCACCAGCCCTCAGAAGTAACCAACTGACCTTGACCCAAGACTTCCAGCCTCCAGAACTGGTAGACGCACATTGTCATGAACAGAAATGCTACAAATACGAATGTTCAGGTGTTCCTGGTGAAGACTCAGGCAGCACACGGGATAGAGTTACTAGAAACTGGAGGGAAGGTGATCCTTTCTATAAAGTAGCAGAACACTTGGAGGACCTGTGTTCTGCGGGGTACGGAGTAGAACTTCACAGCTGATGAACTCAGATACTTAGCTGAGATTTCTAAGCCAAGTCCTGAAGACACTGCCTGGTGTTTCCTTGCTGCTTAGAGCAAAATTCAAGAGTGGAGAGAGAAATTGAAGAAAGAATAACTGTTAAGGAACTGGAACTTGAAGATTTGGAAATTTCTGTCTATCCATGGTGTAAAAAATAAGAGGGGCACCTGGGTGGCTAGTGGGGTAAGTGTTTGGCTCCGGCTCAGGTCATGATCCTGGGGTCCTGGGATCAAGTTCCACATCGGGCTCCCTGCTCAGCACGGAGTCTGCTTCTCCCTCTTCCCCTGCCCCTTCATGCCCCACTCTGATGCTCATGTTCTCTCTCTCAAATAAATAAAATCTTTTTAAAAAATGAAAGAGGATGTTCTAGAGAGGATACTAAGGGTGTGGCCTGTGAATCCAATCACCTGTCTCAGCAGAAATGCTGCCACTGCCAGCTGGGACTAAAAGGGGACAGAGATGCGACAAAAAGGAAGGAAAGCTGTTAGCCTTCTGGGATTCAAGAGGCAGGAAGTGGGCTGCTAGAGCTATTTGGCTGTGAACGTGTACTATCTTTCAAGAAAAGGGAAGAATGACTCTGACAGTGCTTCAGAGGCCTGAGAGGCTACCACTGCCACCAGTGGCCCAAAGGTTTCCTCCTCAGACCCAGAAGCCAGGAAAAGCATGGAGCCTCCAGTCTGACAGGCCCAGAGGACACAATGTCCAGCCACAGGGGATTATTCTCAAGCCTCAAAATTTAGTGAAATTTGCCCTTCTCGGTTTCAATGAGTCTATTTTGCATGTTAGAAGAAGATGAATTTTGGACAGGGCCAGAGGGCAGACTGTCATAGGCAGACCCATGTTGAAGTCCCAACCCCCAGTACCTCAGAATGTGATTATATTGGAAATAGTACCTTTCCAGAGGTAGTAAGTTAAAATGAGGTCATCAGCATGGGCCCTCATCCAACATGACCGGCGTCCTTATAAAAAGGGAAAATCTGGAGACAGACACGCACAGAGGGAAGACCATGTGAGGAGACACAGGGAGAACACCACGTGATGATGAAGGCAGAGATCAGGGTGATGCGTCAATATGTTCAGGAATGCTGAAGAGTGCCAGCGAAACACCGGAAGCTGGGAGGCCTGGAACAGATTCTCCTTCACAGCCCTCAGAAGGAACTAATCAACACCTTGGCCTCAGATTTCTAGCCTCCAGAATTAGGGGACTGTGTATTTCTATGGTTTACACTCCCAAGCTTGTGAT